AAAAAAAAAAAAAAAAAAAAAAAAAAAAAAACAAACAAACAATAATTTAACCATAAAACGAACATACCAAAAAGACAATATTTGGTATTTGTTCTTCCTTTGACTTTTCATAAACCTATTGTGTTTGTTTGCAGCGATGATCAGGCAAATGTATTTGTTTCGTTTAAGGAAAGATAGGCAGCCATTCGAGTGATTCACCAGCCGACATAGGAACAATGCTTCCGGATGCATACGAATACGATTCCGGAACCTTCCACGGCGTCTTTTTCAAAGTGATTTTTCTCGTGTTTCTTGGAAGCCCGTAAAAGTCTGGCCCATTAAAGCTTGTAAACGCCTCTAGTTTGTCGAGTGCACCCGCCTATAACCAAATTACAAGTTGCTTAATGGTGTTGTTGACTTGTTTCCTTTTTACTTAATGGATTAAGCACTTAATCTGGACAGACATATATGCCTGTTTCTTTCTTACTTAGGGGTTGTTTGATGATAGTTGTTGATTGAATCAGATGTAACTGAGTCAAGGTCTGACTAAGTCATTAGTCAGACACAGCGTGAATCTGACCGAGTAAGAGGCATATCAGAGGAGCTAGGACCGAGTCTGAGGCTTCTAAGTATGATATCAAAACTCAGACTCCTAAGAGACATATCAAACAAGAAAGTTACCTCTTCGAAGACCTTAGCATAAATAGAAAGTGCCACGGGAGCATTAAATACACCCGCACATCCACAAGAAGATTCTTTGGTTCGCCTTTCATGAGGTGCACTATCCGTTCCTAGAAAAAATCTTTTATTTCCACTTGTCACAGCAGAAACAATCGCCTGTCCTATATGAGTAGTTGAATACAATATCAATGTTTTAGCAAATCAAGACTTGAAACCAGAAATAGCAACCTACTTTCAACCTTTTTCTTATAAAATATAAACAAATCAATGAAATTGAAATTAAGATTAAGAGAAAGATACATACTGTGGGTTTCCCTCTTGAGCACTGGAAGGCAGTAATAATGTGGCTGCAATCCTCCTTGAAAAAGCGAATTTCTGTTCAGAAGAAGATGTTGTGGGGTAACTGTAGCCGCAACTGAACCTGATAAAAAAATTGTTTGATTTTAAAAATAATAACCACAAACAAAATAGAGATATGGTTTTTTTTACTAAGGAAAGAACAGGTCACAGAAGAAGATGTTTTTATAAATAATAGTATTAGTATACCTTCTTCACAAGATTCAACAAATTTAATGGCGTCCATAGTAGTAACATGCTCCATAACAACCTTCAATTTTGGGAACTTTTGTATTAAGGGTTTTAAAACAGTTTCAATAAATACCCTTTCACGATCAAATATGTCAACTTTGGGATCTGTTACTTCTCCATGGACCTGCATAAATGTTTTCCTATTACAACAATGTACTTTGAATAATCTACACAATTATATTTATACCAGTGAGAATTTTTTTGTATTCTATGTAAGTGTGTTGCTATTTCTTGCATTTAATTTAACCCTATAACTACTTATTGAAGATATAGAAAGATGAGATTACCAAAAGGGGGACATTCTGATTGATCATTTCCTCAAGTGCAGGTATACATTTCCCAAATAAATCTGTAACTCCATCTTGAGAATTTGTAGTAGCTCCAGCAGGGTATAACTTCACAGCATACACAACACCACTTTCCCCTGACAAAGCTCATATATGTTGTTAATTGTTATCTGTTTCTAATTATGTATAAATATCCAAAGTCATTTTGTTAAAAGTATTACACAACAGTGAAAACAAACTTGATTTTAGACAACATTTAAGTCATGTTTCCTTTTTTTCCCATTAAGCTTTGAATGGGTGAATGATGTTCATAGGTGAAAATGGTTGAATAAGAGTCACTCACTTGCTAATTTGATTTCTTGTGGAGTTGTTTTATCAGTCAAGTAGAGAGTCATTAGAGGTGTGAAGTCAGTGTTGTCTGGTAGTGCCTTGAGGATAGAATCGTAATATGCCACAGCAGCAGCGGTGGTTGTAATTGGTGGTTTCAGATTTGGCATGATTATTGCCCTCCCAAATTGTTTTGCACTACATGAATAATTGTCATCAAATTAAAAGTATAAAAACTTAATCACACAAATATTTAGGTTTTATTTTAAAAAATAATAATAATGCAATAGAGTGGCTTTGCGAATTCTGATGGAATTCAAGATTCCATTTTCATGGTCTGTTTGGTTGCCATATGGACGGAATTGAATTCCCTCAGAAATGGATTTCACCATTCCTATAGGAAATCCCATCCTTCCGATTTTCATTAAAAGACCAAAATACCCTCACATGACAGATTATGATTCCTTTAGATTCAATTCATTTGAAGATCATCAAGTGAGAATTGAAGAAAATGAAAGTCAAAATAACCTGTGAGAGACAACTGTTTGAAGGAGTTCACCATCACGAAGATGAAGATGCCAATCATCTGGTTGAGCAATAGAAAGTTCCATCTTCACTCCGTACCCTTTACCTCTTTTCAGACCTCCAATATTTGGGCCAAATAATCTTGAGGGCTAACCAAAGGAAAAATATCAACATTATTAAGAAACAAGTTACTTTCCTTAGCTTTAATAAAGAAAAGCATCTACGCAATTACAATTGTGAATTCTTTTGATTTCATTATATAGAATTTAACAAAGAAAATCTTGATGGCTATAATATTAAAAGCAATAACAAATTGCAATGGCTGCTTACTTTGCTAGGAAGAGCCAAAGTTTTTATCATTCTAAATGCTACACAACTGCAGGAGAAAATTGTTCATCTGTTCATAGACATGAAACAACCAATTAAAAGTAAAATGTTAAAATTGGTTTTTTGAAGTACAATGCCTTGATAAGAAAATAAACGGACAGTATAATGCTAATATGCTATAGTAGAATGAAATAAAAGTAGGATGTGATGATAGACAAATAAATGGAAGTATGTTATGTTGCTCTTTCTTGCAATTAGTCTCTTGGTTTACTTGCATTTATGTGCACCCATCTCAGTTTTAACGCAATCAAGTCATGTGTTCTAATCAATAGTTCAATACCCCTTACAAATTCATGTTAGTTCGCTCTAACACCCATAAACATATTAGCTTTAGTTGTTTTGAAACATTGCATACAGCCTCATCGACACCCCAAGTAAGAGAAGGGAAAAAAAAAACCCTAAAGAAACGATGGATGCACGTCAACGACAAGAAACCGCAAATCTCTCATAAATCCAAACCTCAGAGGATAAACATGAGTTATAAATACGCCCACGAGAAACGATAACTAAGATATAATAGGAAAACAATGAAATGCATGGCTAGATTATGAGCGAATGAAGGAAATTCCCACGTTTGTTCCTCAAAACCTACCTTCAGACATGAATCTAAGAAGCTTGAAGGATATTGAATCCAGGAAAAGTAAGTGTTGTAATTACGAATGGTAGTCTCCCATTGAAGTTAAAATGGAGAACTAGAAACAAAAGAGGTGAAAAACACATTCATTTGTGCATCAGGAAAGCCATAGTTAAGTCAAAAAAGAAAGAAACCAAAACCCTAACTAGTAACAAAAGAAAGAAGTTGAGATGTTACCTATTGATGAGAAAGGCAATGCGATGAGTGAAAGATGCAAGCAGTAGCGTTGAAGCAAATAAGAATCAAAAGTCGGCGCTCAAGTTCAGGCGAAATCGGGAGTCATATGTCCGGCGAATCTGATTTGTTTTACGGGTTAACAAAAATGGTCCCCCAACTATTATGCAACTGATAATTGCAAGAAAAAATATACTATATGCTTTGATTATTTTATGTATTCATGTTATATAATGATTTTTTTTTCTTTTAATATATTAAACTTATAATCTTTTCCATTTTATATAAGATATTAAAAATGATAAATTTGGTAGATTTGACAGATAAAAAAGATATAAATATGTAGGGTCGGCCCTAAGCACATGCGAGGTGTGCAACCGCACAGGAGACGTGTCGTCATGGGGCCCAAAATTTTAATCCGTCGCGTCCGTCATTAATCCGTTGCTACTCCGAAATTTTAGAAGCTCATTTTTAATTTTTGCACAAAGTCTTCAAAATCAACAGACGTGTCCTGTAAATATGCATTTAATATTTCATATTTTTGTAATTTATACAAACACACTATTTTTGAAGATGAAATATGCAAACCATATCTTAAGTTTTTTACCAAAATATACAACCTCTAAATTATATCATGACACCAGTTAAATATTTATTCATTTAAAAACATGTTACTTTTTTTATCAATCTACACAACATTGTTTTATATTAATTCATGCAGCGGTATTTACCGATTTATGTAAATAATTTTTATTTTATCGTCAATTTGTGTAGGAATTTTTATTTTTTACCAGTTTATAACACTATTAATATGCAAACACTCTTGATACACAGTAGATTTGTGTCTCAAAATGAAACGCTTGTGGTATTGATATGCGTTTATCCTAGAAGAAAATTGTGTCATATTGCCAATTAGCTCTTATGCAAAATGCCAATACGAATGACATATCAATTAGAGTTCTATTCCCTTTAACAAACAGGTCAATGTCATGAGTTTTTTTACGTGATATTTAAATTGGGAGGTGACAGTAAATTTGCTTTGTAGACGAACGAAGATCTGTAATTTTTTATCGGACGTTTGACCTTCTTATAATTACTATTGAACAGTAACAAGTTTCTTTCAAGATAAAAAGTTATACTCATTTGAAATCAAAAGATGAAGCATTATATACAACTTACAAAATCATCTAAACTATTAAAACAATGATATTAAACTTGAAAATCAGTATTCCTTTCATACTCATAACCCGCTTCATTGTCTCGGAACTAGGGCTGTAAACGAACCGAACGAACACGAACGAGGCTTATTCATGTTCGTTCGTTTAAGTTAGCCGAACAAATAAACGAACACGAACGGATAAACGAACGAGTTTTCTTGTTCATGTTCGTTCGTTTAGCAAATTACATTGTTCATATTCGTTCGTTTATGTTCGTAAACATGCTAAACAAACATAAATGAACAAAGATGAAAAAAAAAACATAATTGAAGATATATGAACATATAATACACTAATGTAATCAAACACAATTAAGCATATGTGAACATAAAAATGAAATTATATGAATGAACATAAACGAACGTTCACGAACATAATTGAACGAACGAGACCATTGTTCATGTTCGTTCGTTTAACTAAACGAACGATAATTTTGTGTTCATGTCCGTTCGTTTATTAAATAAACGAACATAAACGAACTTCCCGCTGAACGGTTCACAAACATTTCGCTGACGTTCGGTTTGTTTACAGCCCTACTCGGATAAAGGTATCAAAATAGACGGTGGTTCATCCAAAACACTATATCCTTCCTCACACTGATTTCCCCCAATTTCGCCAACAAATCTGCAGAATAGTTTCCATCTCTTCTTGTATGAATCAAAGTGCATTTTTACTCAATCACAATCCTTCCTATATCTTCAACAACAGATTTCATTGGATTATCTTTATCCAATTCTCCCACCTTAAGCATCAACGCATCTTGACAATCAGTCTCAATCAACAAGTTTGACAAGTTCTTCTTTTTCACTAAACATAATCCCTTATAAATACTCCAAATTTCAGCCTCTAAACTCGTATATGATCTTCCTTTCATTTTACCCATGTATCCACACACCCAACTTCCTCTACAATCTCTTATTAAGCCCCAATTGAAGGACCCGAATTCCCTTTCGAACTCCCATGAGTGTTTAACTTCAGAACATTAACAGGGAATGTCCAGGTGGATTTCGTCGGCGTTTTTTCTCTATATAACATGTTTTCTTGTTGTTGTTCTTGAAGTAGAAGATGAGGATATGCGTAAGCAGGAGGTAGATGGAAATTAGTGAGCGCCAGCATGAAAACAACCCCAATAATTTTTTCCATATCTTCCAGTGGAATGTGACTTGCTATCGTTAGGGTTTCTTAGTGGTGTGGATGATCAAGAGTAGATAATTGAGTAACACATTTGGTGATACCATTAGAATCAGTGGAGTAGTGAGTATTAATTAAAGTTTGATTTATAAAATAAGAGCTCACAAATTTATCCTTAGAATCTTCTTTTAAACAGCCAACTTTATAAGAGGTTTGTTTAGTCTAAGGATATGGAGCAAGATGTAGATGGACAGTAGGCAACCTCGGTATGAAAACGACCCCCATGAAGTTTTCCATCTTTTCCGGTGGATGCGACGACAAGATTGAAGGCTTAGGCGAACTGTGACGGCTTAATTGTTCTGATCGAGAACTTCAAGAACTGAACTGAACTGAGATGAGGAAAGTGACGATGAGAGTGAGTTTGTAGTTTTAAATAGGGATATTCAGATGAATACGTTTGGAAAGTTTCCAAAACTTAAAATAAAGATCCTTTTGGATTTTTTTTATGGCTTCGTCAACAAGTTATATCTCTTTAAAATGAAATATGTGAAAATAGTTTTATATTTACTAAACTAATTTGTTTTAATTATGATATTAGTATTATAATTTTCGTTGACGGTTTAACTTCCCGTTATTATAAGTCAAGAATACTACGAGTATTAATTTACTTATAAAAAAACTGATATTATTTAGTATCATTGTTATTATTTAAAGTTTTATATAGTTTATTATTAAAAGTTTTATTTTAAATATTATATATATTATCACTGAAAATAAAATTCTTTTAGGATTTTTTTATGAATATGTCGATAAGATTTTATATCTTTATTTAAAGGAAATCATTATTATTATTATTATTATTATTATTATTATTATTTCAGTTAAATTCTTGTATGCCTTAACTAATTGAATAAGGTTACTTGAACATCATACGCAACTAACGCAAGTTTCTTGGTATCACACATCGTCATCCTGAATTTTAGAGTGTTTGTTGCCTTTCATAAAACCATAATACATTTGCCAATAAAACAGTGCAATACTTTTTTATTTTTTATTTTTTATTTTTTTGGTAGTACCAAAAGAAGGTTGTGTTATAAGGCAGAAACTAGGTCCAAAAAATTAGATTTGAGCCCAATGTTCAACCCGCACCAATTCAATCCCAATACCAAACAACTTTTGAAAACTTTAAAAATATCGGAAATTAAGTAATCTAATTATTTTTTGGGGTATTTTTTTAAATAACCACTTAAAATATTATTTTGAAAAATGGCCTTTCAGTCCGGAATGTTCATTCTGGACCTGAATTTCGAAATGGATAAACAGATAAAATGATCTGACCCAATAATATGGTCCCCCAATATATAACATTTTGGAACTGTGTTCGAACTTATTGTTTCGGCAAGGACAAAGCTATGTAGCACCAAGGTGCGTCCTAAGACCCACCTAATTTTTAAATTCTATGTATTATTTATACATCAAAAAAAAAAAGGAGACTATCTTGAAAAAAGAAAAAATAGGACCTATCTTATTGTATGAGACAATAAAAATAAAAAATGGTGGAATGTTAATAGTTAAATTTGTAAAGAAAATAGTTAACGCTTGGTAAAACTTATCCCACATCGGAGATAAAGATAAACAGTTATAATTTTTGATTTTATAAAAATGAATTGTCAAGGGTTATAAAAAACTCGTAAAAGCAATACAACTCCTCCCACATTAGTGATTGTAGTAAATGGTAGTTGCAAATTGCTTTAAAATAAAAGATATATGTTTGTACACAATAATTATGTTTTTTTTTTTGTAAAAATCCGGTTTTAGATGTCAAATAGGTGGTATACATATACATATACATATACACATTGCTAACATGTCAATGTCATCATAAAAAGAAATGCAAGTATAATGCTATAATAAAAAGGAAACTGAAAAATACATTGCTGTTTCTTGCATTATCTCTTTAGACACATATATACATATACATATCTTTCAACCTCCAACTCCATTCACCACACTAGAAAATACTGAAAGAAAAAAAAAATACACATAGACAAGATATAAAAGCATGTCATCTTGTTGTCTGTTTTCAATATCCAAACAGATAGATTATGTTGTTGGTAGGGTAGTTTCAAGTGGATTTATTATTAGCACCAACACGTTTAGCTTCATAATCCTTGACTGCTGCTTTAATGGCATCCTCTGCAAGCATGCTGCAATGGAGTTTCACAGGGGGAAGGGACAGGTGTTTTGCTATCTCCCTGCAACAACAACAGCAACCACCATTTTCATGGATTTTAGATCCATAAACAGAGAAATATATATTGATGAAGACAACATCAGCTTTTTATTTCAAGAGTGTCATGATCATAAATTTCATAATTACATGCTTCTGAGTACTGGCTTGTTTAAATCCACACCTGTAATAATGAAACCAAGGATTTTCTGCATTTTTCAGAAGATTCACTTATTTCTTCATTCTTCCCTTTTTTATGTGATTATTTCACTAGCTTTCTTTTTTTGTATATTGTGTCTTTTTAAGGAATTGAATTGTATTTTTCATGCTGTTGCATACTTGCATTTATTATTAGTCTTTTTAAGCAATTATGGGTTATGTACCTATTATGACTGCACTGTATTTTCCTGTATGACTATCAGTTTTTTTTTTAATGTATTGTATTAATAAGCTTTATGACTCTTAAGTTTTTGTGCTCTGTGTCATTGTTTAATTTTTTTTATGGGTGATCTGTATCATTTTTGTGTTTTACTTATAACTTATAAATGCTTGTATGTTTTTACTCTTTAATTTTTGTGTTTTGTTTAATACCTACTGTAGTCTGTATGTATGATCCTATTATATATTTTCTTTCTTTTAGTTATTTTTAAATAAGAATTTAATCTTTAATCCAGTTCATGTTCGTATCAGAGTTGTATGTCCCCAGGACAATTTTTTGGGCCCACTTCCTTTTGAGAATGAGAGGTTACACACAGGATAAATTTTTGGAGTATATAAGAGCAATCCAAAATAGGCTTTTGGTGTTTTTAAACATAAGTGTATTATAGATTTACAAGCAGATGAGTATAAGTATGCACTTCAGTAAAACATGATAAGCAAAATGTATTAATTAGAACATGAACATGCATAAGGGTCTGAACTGAACTCACGTGTTCTTGATGGTCAAAACTTCTTCCATCTGTTTCCCTTTCACCCATTCAGTAGCTGAAAACACAAACATAAAAATTTACAACAGCTATCTATCATTATGCCAAAACTACCCAACAATATAAAAGAACTACTGCCATTAATCCTTTCACTGTTATAAAATCCATCACTTAACTGTTTCTTTTTTGGACAGAATGGAAGTACATGACCATTTTACCCTTCTGTCTAAAAGTGATGCTTAACAACCTTGATTAACTAATCTTGCATCAAATAGGAGGCTAAGTTTTATGTAAAGAGAATAAACAATCATATTAACACTTATTAGAAACCTTTTTACAACTCCAAGATTTTTAAATAAGCATATGATGGGTTTTATGCACCTAACACATCACAATGTATAAACTAGTTTTCACAACTATGGAAGAGGCATTTGATACATCAAAAACCACTGAAAGCACACAACTTTGCATAAACTGAATTTCAGATCCAACTTTTGATTCTAAACAGAAAGGTTTCAGTTTTACTATGTTCCATTCTTTATTCTAATCAGACAAAACAAAAGAATTCAAACCATCACCATTATTCACGGTAATTAAACACCAGCGCTTAACCAATTCAAAAAACCCTCTTAAAATCACAAACAACAATTCACCCGAATTGACATAAAAGTTACATGCCTCCTCCCATTTTCTTTGACTAAATCAAGGTACGAATTCAAATATTACGAACATCAAAACATAGCTAGGGTTTTGGAAAAGAAAACTAACCAACAGAAGAAGAAGCGATGGCAGACCCACAACCAAACGTCTTGAAGCAAGCATCCGTAATCTTGCCAGTCTCTTCATCAACCTTAATCTGAAGCTTCATAACATCTCCGCAAGCCGGTGCACCCACAAGCCCTGTTCCAACGGTAGGATCGTTCTTATCAAAAGCACCGACGTTACGAGGATTGTTGTAATGGTCCACCACCCTCTCATGGTAAAACCTAGGTAGAATCCGAGTCCGAGCCACCGACGTTGCAGGTCCCAACCCTAGAACCCTCTTAGTAGCGTGCCTCAACATTTTCGTGATTATCTCTTTCTGGATTGAAAAAGAATTCGGCTGCGATGTAAAAATCAGGGTGAAGTAACTATTTAGGAAATATGGATGAGGATGGAGAACGAGCATGTGCTAGCTTTATCCGACCCATAAAAAAAAAGTAAGGAAGTTTAAAAATGAATAAAATAACTATTGTTTTTATCATTAAGCCGGCTATTGTAGGTAACTATCATGTTACCTATTTATTAAATGTTCAAAAAATATCATTGTTGTTTTTTTAGTACAAAAAATATCATTAAAGTTACTATTTATACACAGAATACCAACGAAATACACGTCTTCAAATAAAACCTTGTGGTAACTGTTTAAAACATCACAAAAATTACAAAGAGATTTTTCAATTTTAAAATATAGTAACCAATTAAAACCTCAGTTTCAAAACCATTAGGTAAATTCATTTGATTAAAACCATACAATATCAAAGTTAATTTACAGAACCGCGGAAACGAACATCTTCGATGCGTGTGGACAGTCTCGTCGAGCTCTTCTTGCAAACTACCTGCAAAAATGTTTAATCCACGTCTGTAAGCATAAAGCTTAGTAAGTTCACCAATATACCACATATTCCATCATACATATAATGCATCCACATAATAGTTCGGCTCTCGTATCGAACAATCCAATCTCCTATCCATATAATCATACATAACAAACATACATGAAGTAACGGGTCTGCTCGAACCACAGGTGAATGCTAAGAGCTAAATCATAGTCTTACATTTTTCCATGG